CCTCGGCCTCCCGAAGTGCTCAATGGCATGAGCCATTGCACCTGGCCTGAAATACTATTTATCTTGATTATTGAGTTTTTTGGTGTTCCTTTAAATTTTGCACCTGAGGCCAGTGCCTCACTCAAGTCATTAGCGCCTGCCCTGATTATTTCCAACATGCAATCCACACCATATCATTAATTCCTCATCAAACGCTCTACTATTACCACTTTACAGTTGCAAAAAGTGAGGCACAACTGTGCCCAATGTCCCAAAGGAACGAGAAGAAAAATCTGAATTTGAACCCCAGCTTCTTCGTTTTTTGGTTCAGAGCCTGCCCAGTATAGCACTACAATAAGCTGAATTTTATAAGTTGGGTTTTGAGTCAAGGAATCAAAAGCTTCAGGCTTAAGTCCCATCTCTGCCCCAGAGTCTTCTGAGTCCTCCATTTTCACAGACGTCAGTTGCCCTAGGTGGAACTGGACTTTAATATTCTCAACAGCCCTTATTTTTCCCAAAACAGTTTACCAGCTTTTTCTTTCCTGAACCAGGAGCAATCGCAAATATTGGGAATGCGAAGAAACAGGTACCAGCCAGGACACCTGAACCAACTTGGAGCTCAGGAACCCAGGAGGGGATTGGAGAGAGTGCCGAGACTCCGTGGTCCACAATGAATGCTCCTTCCCCATCCAAAAAAAAAAATCCTCTAGCCCAGTTTTTGGGCCGGTGCCAGACTTTTATTCTGAAGCGTGGGCCACAACCTATGAGGTAATCTTTGGAGCTTCATTCTGAGGCGGAATCCCATTGGCCAGTTGGGGAAGCCCCTCCCAGGATTCCTGGCGCTCTGCCTTCCCCGAAGCCTATAAAAGCGCAGGTCCCTGCCTCGGCAGCCACGGGACACCTGCATCTGCCAACAAGACTGGAAGCAGGTGAGGCACACAGAGGGGGAGGCCCGCAGCTGCGTGGGAGGAGGGGTGGTCTGAGGGACATGGGATGCCGGGAATTAGACTGGTTTGCAGGTCGGCGCATGGACATTTTCCCAGGAACGGACAGAGACAGCGAAGTTTGACGGTCTGGAAAGCAGAAATCAGTGGGGCTGACTGCTTGGGAGGTAAGTTCTGGGGATGTGGTACAGGGTGAGGAGCAGGTATCAGTGCTAGTTGCGACCCCTCCGTGTCTCCCCCTCCCAATGCCATTCTGAAGCTCCCCAGGAAGAAGCTAGGAGGGGAAATAAATTGAGTGGGGGTGGGGTTTCCCAAGAATCGGAGGAACCGAGAATGAAGAGGGGTGGGGGAACCGGGAAAGAGAGAGAGGAAAATCAAGTTTTCTTCAGCACGAGGGACAGCTCTCCCCCGACCAAAGGAGGAGAATGCTATTTATTTCAGCACCAAGTATACGGACAGCGCCTCTCGGGGGTTCCAAGGAGAGAACCGCGATCTGTTTCAGCACCGGGGCTCAGGACAGTTCCCAGAGGGCTCCATTTCGGCGCCAGAACCCTGGACAACTCCCCCAGGTAACGGGAGAGCCCTTTGACCCTGATTTTGCAGGAGGAGGACGAGAGAGGGTGGTGTGAGGTGCCTGGCATTTCTGGAGACCTGCCCCTCATGTAATGGATCTTTAAACAAAGTACTTTCCAGATAAGCACACACAGAAGTCTGCAATTTTCTTTTTTTTTTTTTTTTT